TTCATTTAAAATTCCCCTCATTTCTTTTTTCCAATCCATTGAATGTTTTAAGCTGCATTAATCAAAGCAGTGACAGCCTGAACGAGCCAGATGAACAGCGTGGGACCAGTCTCCAGGATGAAAACAGAGAACAGAGTCCAGTTCATTAATGTAGTTACAATTCACTTAACTTGTTTTTAATAGCGTGTTCAGTTTAATTGTTAGTGTTTGTGTGACATACAGTTTGTGGTGTTGAATAAATAAAAATTAAACCTGATGTCTTCATTTTCAACTTTAATAACATGCAACATGTTTTGCGTTGTTTAAATCATATGAGTCCAGATAGCTTCATTTAGCTCAGATAACTTCATTATATATCTCACACGCTAACATTAATACTGTTTATTATTGTTAAACTGTTATTATTTAGCACATTTAGTATGTTATAGTGCAGCGCGACACGTGAAATATCTGCCTGCCTCGTTCAATAAATAAATATTAGAACTGGATCCGAATGGAGTCTCTTCCCACACAGATGTTGGTCACAGCACATTCAGGTGTAGATTAATTAAATATGAGACTCAAAATATATTCCATCAGTTGTTCAGAAATCAGTGTGTCCGCCGCCGTTGATAGAAATATGCTGTCTGTCCGCACGTGCATGTGCGCGTGTGGTTTAACACAAAGCCTCAGCGGGAGATGTTTGTTATCAGAGGGTGGTCAGTCAAAAACCTCCACTCTGGAAGGTGGGTTCAGAAACCTCCGGATTCAAAGGGGGGGCTACTGGTGTCGTGTAAATGAACAGCAGAACTGTAGAGGGAAAGGAGCAGATTCACTCAAAATACGCACCTGTAAACGGCCCCTCGGTTCTTTAAGTTGTTTTTTTTCTCACTCGCACTCGTGCAAGACGGACACTTTTGCCTCCTCCTCCTGCTCTCCTGTCCTCCTCCTGCTCTCCTGTCCTCCTTCTGCTCTCCTGTCCTCCTCCTGCTTTTTTTTTTTTTTTTTGCTCTCTGTCTGTGTATCGGAGCTCCTATTTTACACATCTTTCAAACTAAAACTACTGTCATGGATCTGGTCAGCTGGACTTTCAACGCAATTGATAAAATCTTTTATCAATTATAAAACTAACTTACAGAAGAAATTTAGTACTAAAAAGTTTAAATGGAAACAGTCCTCTCTTTCTGGGTGGCTGTGGCTGAGTGGTTAGAGCAGTCGTCCTCCAATGCAAGAGTCGGGGGTTCGAATCCACCAGCAGTCACATGTTGAAGTGTCCCTGGGCAAGACACTGAACACCTCATAGCCTCTGATGTGTGTCCCATCAGTGTATGAATGTGATAAAGCTCTGATTAGTCTCTTTAGAATGATTTGTTCAATTATCTTTGTAGAGATCTAGTAGAGTGCTGTATGAATGGGTAAATGAGGCACAGATTGTACTGTAAAGTAAACTTTGAGTATCTTGAAGTAAGAGAGAAAGGCGCTATATAAGTACAGTCCATTTACCATTTATCCAAGTCAAATTGGTGAAACCCAATGAAACAAATTAAATTATATATAGTATATATTATATTAGTGTTTCATCTGGAAATCCAGTGAAATTTTCAAATCAGTTATTAAGACCTGACTGTTTTACATTGATAAAACTTGTTTTTTTATTTTCTGTTCAGGCTATCTGGCTTGCTACAGAGGTGGAAGGTGGTGTGAGCCTGAGTCTTACCAGTCCAGATGGAGACCAGGGCTATCCTGGTGAGGTTCAGGTCTCCGTCTCCTACACTCTACAGGTAAAACACATCCATGAGCACCTGTTCATGTTATACAATAGGGTCAAAAAGACAGAAATTGTTCCTACATGACAAACTTGTCATCCACAGTTCTATATATTGCAGCACTGTGACTGATGGTGTCCAGCTAAAGTTGAGCAGAACATATTTCAGCTAATCTTGACACCTGTTTGATGTCAAAAACAACATTTAAAAGTCTTAACCTTTTAGATTTAGTTACTGTTTGAATCATGGTTCAAGACAATTAACCTTCAGCTAATTTCTGATTTGACTGAAGTCAGTGGGCCAAACTGGTTGATTTAATTTATACAAGTTAACTTTGTTTCACTTTTTTTTTTGTAAATAAAGTAATGGTAAACGGCACACTTCACCCACTGACAGCTGCTCTTTATGTTCATGAACACATTAACATCCAGCGCAGACTCTGGTGGTGTGAGTTCAACTGAGCTGAAGCTGTTTGGAAAATTGAGCAATTATTTCCATGTAAAATTCAGAATTTAAAAAATATTAACCTAATTTGATAATGATTGCATACATACTTAAAGCCAGGAAAGCAGATGCTCCACCTCCTTATGAATATGAACAAATTCTCACTTTAGAGCCGTGCATCCCAAACTTTTTTATACCTTCTAATTATATCTCGTTTAAATTATCCTTTTTTACTGTTTACTAATTGTAGCCAAAAGTTTTGCTTTAGGCAGTATCTCACTAGTCTGTGACCATTGGAGACTGATTGGCAACTCTAACTTGGCTCATTTAGAGAAAATAAATTGTCCGTGGCCGATTCACTGAGTGCTCATTTTGTACCCACCTTGGCATCTTCCCCCAAATTTATGATTTCATCTACTAGATTTGTTTTGAAATGACAGGGAGATTTGAACCAGTTTTAATTTTTTTTTAATAAATTAAATTTACCTGTGTACTTTTTAGCTCTGGAGACAGGCTTGAGACACCCCTGATGACTTAATATTTTAAGAAAAGGTTGATCGCACAGATTTCTTTTCATGTTACAAGACATTTCTGAGACTCCCTCATATTCACAACCCAGTGAGATTCTACCTTTCAATGAATCGTGTACTTTTATTTGGTCATCACTGAAACCTGCAACCAAAGAACCCAAAAAAATTAGAATGAAAAAGTTCCAGATTTGATTAAAAAATATCTGATTTCTTTTTTAATTCTTGTTTTGTGGTAAGTCTTGTTTTTCTGAAATAATTTTTTTTAATGTCTCAAAATTATTATGAATTAAATGTTAAGTATTGTGAATTAAGATAAGAGCTAAGACTTTATTATCCTGAAGGAAATTCACAAGTTGTCAGCTGCTTCAAGTCACACAACACAATGATAGAAGAACAACAAACATGTACAGTAGTCCCTCGTTTATCGTGGGGATTCGTTCCCTGAAGACCCGCAATAAGAGAAAAACTGCGAAGTAGGAATAATAGTACAAGTAATAAGCAGTAGTTTATTTTAATTATATATATATATATATATATTCAATATATATATATATATTAAATATAATTAAAACAAACTACTGCTTA